TAATATTGAAATAAAACTTTTTATATCTTACTTTAGTTACCACAATCTACTAGTTAATATTGTAGATATGCATGTTTTCTCAGCCAAAAATAATAACTAAACTTAGCAATTGGTTATAAAAAATAAAAAATTAAAGCTCGTTAAAAAAATTAAAATAAATATGTATTTAGTGTATTAGAAAATATGTACATGTGTACGTATATCACACATTTCTTTCTTTCTGAAATTCCCCTATTAAGTTTCACTTCTTCCGCGCGTAGGGACTACACGCACTGGGTTTCTTTTTAATAAGTAATTGCTTTTTCTTAAAATTGCTCACCTTTTACTCGATTTAAAAAAGTAAAAGATCTGAAATTTTAGGAAAAAACTTGCTTAGCTGTTATTCATAAGGCGCCGTGTGTTTTGCACTCGAATAAGCCACTGCACAAAAATTGCAGATTTTTACAAAAAAGTTTAATTTATTCAAAAGACCCTATAACAGAAACAAAGTAATTGAATTACTTTTCTTTCAATATATATTAATATTAATAATTACAAAACACGTAAAAAAACAAGCCTTGGCTAACAACTTTTTACAATTCCGTACGATTATCTTACACTCGCATAAGGCATACTCAAAATTTGAATTCTTTTAATACACATTAGCATTAATAATTACTGAAAACTTTTTAAAAAACAATCCTTGGCTAACAACTTTGTAGGATTCCGTACAAGTATTATACACTTGCATATAGCATACTCAAAATTTGCAAATTTTTACAAAAAAATTGTATATGATCAAAAGATTTCTTTACGGACAGAAAACCAATATTCCTTTCTTTTAATATACATTAACATTAATAATTACTAAACACTTATAAAAAGCCTTGGCTATCAACTTTGTAGGATTCCGTACAAGTATTTTACACTCGCAAAAGATTTTATTACAGAAAGAAAACCAATTGAATTACCTTTCTGCACGTATTTATGTATGTATTGTAAGTATGCATCTCTGTATACATCAATGCCAACATATATATTTGCTTATGTACATATGTATCAGGGTTGTTGCGAATATTCGTATTCGCATTCGCAACCGCTGAGCTTCCGCTTTAATTTTAACATTCGCATTCGCTTTCGCATTCGCAATATTCAATGCGGATCTTTTGCGAATGCGAATATTAAAGTGGACCGACCGCTTATCAAAATTAAACAAGTTTGGTATCAAATGAAAGAGGACCTAAATAGCTTAAATGTCTAAACGAGCAAAGCCTCCTATTAAAAAATATTTCAATAAAAAATATTAATTAATTACAATAGAACAAACCCTGGGTCAGGTATATGAATTTCTTTAGTATTAAATGATACAAAAAATATATATATATAAATAGAGGCGGTAACCTTCGTTCGTTTAAAAGCTATTTCAGTCCTCTTTCATATGATACCAAATTTGTTTAATTTTGATAAGCTGTTTGTTTATTATCCGGAAAGGACTTTTATTTCGGAATAAAAAAATATTAGGCCAAGTTTAACTCGTGAAAAAATAACTATTATTTTTGGTCCCTGGAATATTGTGCAAGTGCACTGATAAAAAGTATATCTGGCCAGTCACAGAATAAAGGATTAAAAATGAATTACAAAAACTCAAATCGAAAAACGCTGTTGACGTTACAGGTTCTCCGAACTCAGAAACAACCAAAAGAATGACAATGAAGAATTCTTTGGAAAACAACGGTGTTAAAACAACGATCTTGCCATTATGCTAGATTGTGAAGATGAAAGTGAGGAGGATACATCCGACTTATGCAGCCCCGATGCAATTCCCAAAAAGGAATTATTGCACCGCAATAACTCGAGCGAGTAGTTATTTAGTGGTTTGATTTACGACCCTTTAAAAACTTTTTATTAAATACAACTTTCCAATTTTTAAATTCAAGTACTAAAAAAACATTATTAAAAATTACTAACTTACTTACCTTAATTACTTACCTTAATTATTAATTTATTTTAATTATTAATAATAATTTAATTAATAAATTTTCTTAAAAATACTTGGCATCCGCATTCGCGGATGTTAGCTTTTAAACATCCGCATCCGCATTCGCATCCGCGGATGTCTAAAATTCCACATTCGCAACATCCCTAATAGTATGTGCATACGTATGTAACTAGACGGTGTAAAAATACAATAATTACCAGAAATGATACAAAAATAAAACATTTGTAAACATTACGGTGAATTTGATGAAATTTTGCCTTGATTCAAGTATTAATATTGTTGTAGTTGGTGTGATGGTTTTAATTTAAGCAGCAGCATGAAACCCACCATTATTTGCAAAAAACAACAACAATAGAAGCAGAAAATTAGCACAACTGAAAAAGATGCCGAATCATCTACATACATACCCTGCAGGAAATGGGACTAGTTTGTAGCTAACTATTAACTAACTAGCAGTCGACTAGTGGTAACTATTTATTAACTATTGCCTTTGGCCTAACTAACTACTTTTGAAAGGCAATGACCGCAAAATAGTGATCACTGGTTTCCTCTGCATTAGATGTCAACTTACTACTTGTGTCTACCTTTAGACACAAACTATCAATAAAAATTTTATTTTTTCTTAATTTTTTTATTTTTATTTATTCATTTTATTTAACATTACATATTTGCTTATTTGTTTAAATGTTCTCTTGTAGGTAGTCCCACATTTGAATTCCAAAAGAATCCTCCAAGTGCAGAAAAAAGTGTATTGAAAGTATTTTTTTGTAGGAGGATATTTAAAAAGAATCTTGTAAAGAAACAAACTCCCGATAACGTCTGCATGACTTTACAACTCACTTAAAGTTAGTTTTGTCATAGCTAATTAAAAGTTAGGTATTTATCGAAATCCCACAAAAAA